AGCCACTACCCCTACAGGTGAGCTAATGGCCCCTACAGGTGAGCCACGATCCCCACAGGTGAGCTAACGGCCCCTATAGGTGAGCTAACGGCCCCTACAGATTACCTTAACCCCTACAGGTGAGCCACAGATCCCTACAGGTGAGCCATAGACCCCTATAGGTGAGCTAACGACCCCTATAGGTGAGCATAAACCCCCACAGGTGAGCTAACGACCCGTACAGGTGAGCCACTACCCCTACAGGTGAGCTAATGGCCCCTACAGGTGAGCAACTACCCCTACTGGTGAGCTAACGACCCCTACAGGTGAGCCACGATCCCCACAGGTGAGCTAACGACCCGTACAGGTGAGCTAACGGCCCCTACAGGTTAGCCACTACCCCTACAGGTGAGCTAATGGCCCCTACAGGTGAGCCACGATCCCCACAGGTGAGCTATAGACCCCTAAAGGTGCGCCATAGACCCCTACAGTTGAGCTAACAAACCCTATAGGTGAGCCATAGACCCCTACAGGTGATCTAACGACCCCTATAGGTGAGCTAACGGCCCCTATAGGTGGTTCATAGACCCCTATAGGTGAGCCACAACCCCTATAGGTGAGTCATAGACCCCTACAGGTGAGCTAACGACCCCTATAGGTGAGCCATGACACCTACAGGTGAGCTAACGACCCCTATAGGTGAGCCACTACCCCTATAGGTGAGCCACTACCCCTACAGGTGAGCCACAGACCCCTACAGGTGAGCCATAGACCCCTATAGGTGAGCATAGACCCCCACAGGTGAGCTAACGACCCCTACAAGTGAGCTATAGACCCCTACAGGTGAGCCATAGACCCTTACAGGTCAGCTAACGACCCGTACAGGTGAGCTATAGACCCCTACAGGTGAGCCATAGACCCCTACAGGTTGGCAACAACGCCCACAGGTGAGCCATAGACCCCCACAGGTGAGCCATAGACCCCTACAGGTTGGCAACAACGCCCACAGGTGAACCATAGACCCCCACAGGTGAGCTAACGACCCGTACAGGTGAGCCTTGACCCATATAGGTGAGCTAACGACCCCTACAGGTGAGCTAATAACCCCTACAGGTTAGCCACTACCCCTATAGGTGAGCTATAGACCCCTACAGGTGAGCCATAGACCCCTACAGGTGAGCCATGACACCTACAGGTGAGCTAACGAGCCCTACAGGTGAGCTAATGACCCGTACAGGTGAGCCATGATACCTACAGGTGAGCTAACGGCCCCTACAGGTTAGCCACTACCCCTACAGGTGAGCTAATGGCCCCTACAGGTGAGCCAC